TATCATGTATTTGAAGAAAAAAAAAGTTACAAAAAATTCGTTATAATATTTTTCTTATATCATTGTTATTTTTTTTTAATTCAATTTATAAAAAAATTCAAAACAAGATTCAAAAGATTTATACATATATGAAAAGTTTATAGAGAGTTATTCAATTATCTTTAATTTAAAAAAATCATTATATATAATATAATATCGATGAATATAAAATCGAGACGTTAAACTACAAAAGTAAACGATAAAAATTTAAAATCATTGATTAAAGAAAGAATTATAAATTTATTATTATATTATATTATAGTATATTATAATTTGGACATCGATATTTTTAATATTCAATTACTAATGATTCATTTCATATTTCAAAGAAAATAAAATTCTAAAAAAAGAATGTATTTATTTTCTTATAAAAAAACCCATATAATATAATATCATATATAATATCATATATAAATAATATAATATAATATAATATAAAATAGTTTATAATTATTCAATGTTCAATAAATAAAAAATATATATTTTTATAAATTTATGCATCGATTAATCAAACAAATTTTTTTAATTTAATTGGTATTTATTTATTTAATTTGTTAATAACAGAGACACATTAAATTCAATTGAAAGGGAAATGAAAGATAAAAGAAAGAAAAGAAAAAGATAAATGAAAAGATAGATAGATAGATAGAGATAAAAAAGAGTTCGAAAAGGATGATATTTGTGATATTTGTTCGAAACCAACGAAACATCGATTCAGATCCTTAATAATCAATTGACTCAATTTAGACTTAGTTATTTTTCCGTCAGTGAAAGAAGGTCAGTGTTGCTGTCCCTTACAATGTTTGGCGCCATAATGTCGCCTTATATGCGATGTTCTTCCTATATTCTTAATTCTTATTTTCATTACCGTTAACCAACCGGAATAATCTCCAACGGTGTGGATACGTTACAAAAAAGCCTCCATTCTTGATATAACCGAACGTATAACTGTTAATATGAACTGCACTAGTAATGACATCAATACCATTTTTCCATTTCACTTCATTAGCAACTTGTCTAATTCGAATTTAATTAATAACAAATTTAACTTTATTTTTCTTTTATTTTTCAATGTATTAAATATTATAATAATATGTTAAATAAAATATTAAATTTTACATAATATGCTATATCAGATATACATATAAAACGAATTTGTAAAATTTATTTAAATTTGAAAATGAAATAACTTTCAGGCCTTTTTATAGATTTATCGATATTCGATAGATTTATTTAAATTCGATAGTCTAAAACTAAATTTATTTAGATTAAATTTTTTTGTATGTATAATTTTCATATTTATTTACATATAACATGATTTGATTCTTTTTTTTTGATATTTAGATAATTAGATTTTAAGTGGACGAATTTCGTGATTTGCAAAAATAAAATCTTTAAATTGTTGAAAAACAGAAGAACATAATTCTATTTTAAAAAGAATAAAAAATATATATATATTTTAAAAAAATAAAAGTTATACTATTATACTATTATATTACTATAACAATATCTAACATATCTATCATATATGAATTTTCGTTTGCTTTATTTATTAGAATATTAATGTTTCATTTAGAATCACAATTTATAATCTTAAATCCTTTTTTAGAGATTTTTTAAAAATCAATGGAGGAATCATTTTTCGTAAGATGAATTATGCCATATTGAAATTGACATATGAATTAAATAAAAAGGGAGAATAAAAAAATACTTATCTATAAATTTTAAAACAATTCTCTTATGTGAAAAGAAAAATTGTATAAGGTATATGTTAAAATTTGTTAAATTTGTTATTTGTTTAATTTTGAAGATTCAGAATTTTAAAAAATAATATATTTATAATCAAAATATAATTCATTTGTTTTTTTTTACAATTATTAGCTTACTAATACTGCTTAATAATAATAATTATATAACATTAATTATTTGTATATTATATACAATATCATGATATTAACAAGTAAAATTTTAATAATACAAATTAAAATAAAAAAATGATAAGACAAAATA